GCAGCAACTAGAGAAAGCCTAAAAAAAAAAACTTGGGAATTTTAGATTATTCCCTCTTTCTCATCATATACACCCAGTCCCTGAAACCTAGCAGTTTTGCTCCTTTTGTGTCTCTCAAGTCCCATTTTTCTCCATTCTCATAGCCATTGCCTTAAGTCCTTATTATTTTTTGTCTGAATTATCACAATAGCCTTCTTGTCTGCTCCCTGTGTCTCCCACCATGCCCTATTCCAGTTCTGCCAACATAAATCTGGCACAATCTTCAAAAATGGCTAATCTTTCAGATTTCCTCCATAATTTTCAGTATAAAATTTCAACTCTTTACCATAATTTTTAAGGTTTTTCCTTCCCTCCCTCCCTACCTCTCTCACTTCTCCTGACACTGTTCTCCTCCCGTGAGGTTCAGCAACCTTCCCCAAGTCTCCCAGCCCCTCCTGTGTATCCCTCTACTAGAACGAACAAGTGGGACCCTGTTCTCTCAGTGCTTAGAGCCCCAACACCTAGGCATTTTAATATAAAACTTAAGAACTCATACTTTGAAGGTACACAAACCTGGTTTGAATTACTGGTGCACCAGTTACTAGCTTATTTGGATGAGCTTGGACAAGTAATGTGACCTGCCTGGGTCTTAGTTTCCTCATCTGTAAAATGGACAGAATAAAGGGCCTATCTCACAGTTGTTAGCAGGGTTAAATAAGATAATTAATAGAAAGCCCTTACTGGGATACCTGGGACACAATAATTGCTTCGTGAATGTGATACTACAACTAATGTAATGCCTAAAATTGAATACTAATGAAATTTTTAAATGAATAAAAAACTGAATGAATGAATGAACAAAGTGTATGGAATTGAATCTAAGGAGGAGAGAAAAATCCTGCAGGTCAATGATAGTTTCAGGATGAGATCAAGTAAATAAGCAACACTTCAGATGTGCCCATTTTTTGCCTTCAGATTTGTTTCATGGTTGATATTATTTTAATACAAAAGAAACCATCAAAAGCTTATTTTTGATCAGGCTTTTATTTTATATTTCCACTTCCATGTTCTTCTTGACATTTGAGAAGTACTTTTTACTACTTCCAAGATCCTGGTCTTTGTGCATCTTTACTGAATTAGAATAAGCACAATGCGCTTTCTATTGATGGAGCCATCTGAGGTTCCTGGCCTGGAGGTTTCCTTCGCAGATAAAGGAAAGCTGGTGTCAGCACGTTTAGGGCACATCAGAGAACAATCGAGCAGTGTGCAGGGTCTGTGCAATCACTTGCTCTCATTAGATACTTTTTAAATGTTTGCATGCTTGCCAGTGGCAAAGATGGCAAACTTCAAGTAATTGATTGGGAACAAAATTTTTATTGTCCCCTGCAGTTCTATAAAAACCAGTGGTTAATATATTTTTCTTTTTTTTTCTGAATGACTTTCCACTTCAAACCTTTGGTCAAGAGTCCGGGTCTATAGTCAGTATCTGGAGTCCTTAGCAGATGGGATGACAGGGATTAACAGGCCTTTCTGCAGGTGGTGAAGTGTAACCAGCAAGATACTAGCAGCTAATGTTTTTAAACTCTTTATAATTTACCCTGTGATTCCCATATATGATCTCATAAGGGGAGGGGAGGTATTTTTCTTAACCTTCTTTTACACTTGAGGAAAACAGGAAAATCGAGTATCAGTTAATTGCTCAAATTCATTTATTAGGAGTGCCACTGTTACGGTCATTGTTAGGAATCACATACCCTTCCCCTGCTGACCTAAAAATCATTTTGGAGGCTGATTTTATAATGGATTTAAAAATTGAAGAGGCTAGAAATATTTATTACCATTGGCAGGGCAGAGATGTGGCAGATGTGTTTCACTCAAGCAAATTTAAGACAATACATTTAGGGAAGTGTGTACTGTAGGGTGAGGGGGTTTGTCTACACAGTTGTTACTTGGAGAAGATGGAGCAAGGAAATTAGAGGGAGAAAAAGTAACTACAACAAAGAATTTCTCTTACTCTTGCTCCAATCACCATTTCACTTACCTGCCGATGAGATAAAAATTTCTATTTTAAGGGAAGACAAGAAAATTTAAACATAAAATATTTCTCTGCCAGTTTGGGCCTCCTCCCTCCCCTCCAGTGTGCATTGTGCATCTGCATTATGCATCCACCAGACCTCCCCAATGGCAGAAATACCTGCTTAAGCATAAAGATCAATTTTTCTTCTTCTGGAGCTAGTCATGAAACTCCTTAGGAGATAACATTCCTTTCTCAATCTTGTAGGGACCTTGATGACCCACCACTTGCCTTGTGTGTGCAGATGACTCTGGTGAACTTTATGTACAGTGACAATATATCATTTCCCTTAGAGATAGCAATTGGTGCAGAACAGACTGGTCCGATGACCTGGGGAGATACTGGGCCACACCTAATAGAATTTTACAGCTTAAATACTTACTTATGACCTTAGTAATGTTACTAGTTATGTTACTTGTATTTTGCCTATTTTACAAGATTGTTATTTCTTGCATTACCAAATGTGTGACTAATCCTGAGATAAAACTAATGTGATTAGGTGACTTGAAACAATTGACCAAATATATAGTCCTATAAGATCAATGATTATAATAGTGTAACTCTAGATATGGAAAGAAGCAACCAGAGGGAACCATTTCCTGAACCTTAACAGACTAGTAGGACAGGCAGTCCAAAAGCTTTTGGCTACTGTTAACAGGACCAGTCCAGTAATAGCACTTCGGGTGGCTTATCAACGAAATTCTTGCTTGACCTGGGAATGGGCATTCGTAGTGCCATGGGACAAATTGGTCATGAACTGCCTCCCAAACCTTGGTGGAAATTAAGAGCGAAAGGGAAGGGATTATAAAGTAAAGAATGTTGCCCACCATCTTGTTGTACAATAATCAAATTATCAGCCACTGCAGTCACTGACCTACCAGACACTCTGAAAGGAACTTGGGGTGAAGATCAGGAAGAGGTAATCTGTGCTCTGGGAAAACTGACAGAACAGGCCTTCAAATAGATATTTTCGGGAGAAATCTTTTATGAAACTGGATTCTTACATCTTGCCATACCTGGAAAAGCACTAAAACCGTCAACTAAGACGTCTGTTTCTCATGACTAGCAGCAACCTTCTACTGAGATGTGTGCTTGATTGCATGTACCCCCTTTGCCAGAATAACATGTATGCTGACCTCCCCCTTTACCTCTTTGGAACAGTCCTCAGAGCTTTCTGAAAGACTGTCTCCCAGGTTATAATCCTCAGATTGGCTCAAATAAAATTTTCCATCTCTTTCTTTGATTGTTGATTAATTTTTTTTGTAGACACTGCCACAACCACAGCATGAACCGATTTGTTAGTGAGACTTCTGAGCTTGCCCTGGAATCTGTTTTCTATTCTCTGACATCAGTTCCCATCAGAGCCAAAAGGGTCTCCCAGAACAAATAGCTTTCACTTCAAAATCATGTCATATCCTTAATTACTAATGCCTTAAAATACCATAACCCTTAGCTTTTTGATCTATGCCTTCTACCTTTGTTTTTTAATCTTTATTGGGACTTTCAAAGTTGTTCCTATTTTTTTAATCTTTATTGGAGTATGGTTGCTTTACAATGTTGTATTAGTTTCTGCTGTTCATAGTTTTTTGTTTTTTTTTCCTCCTGTTTTTCAAAGTTGTTTTGATTTCCCTAGGTTCTTTATATTTCCAAATGAATTTCAGAATCAGCTTGTCAGTTTATGCAAAAAGGAGTCTCATTGGGAATGCTTTTTTTTCTACAGATTAATTTGGGGGAAATTTGACATATTTGGTATATTGAGTTATCTGACCCATGAAACTTGTAAATCACTCCATTTATTTAGGCCTTTCATTTCTCTCAGCAATGTTTTATAGTTTTAAATGTGCAGACCTTAATCATGTTTTGCCAGATTTATCCCTAGGAATATAACAGTTTTTAATGCTATTGTAACTGGAATTTTAAAAAATGTCAGTAGTGAACTGTTCATTAGTAGTATTTGGAAGTAACAGATCTTTGTATATTGATTTTACATCCTGCAACCTTCCTAAAGCCACTTATTGGTTCTTTTTTTTTTTTTAACATCTTTATTGGGGTATAATTGCTTTACAATGGTGTGTTAGTTTCTGCTTTATAACAAAGTGAATCAGTTATACATATACATATGTTCCCATATCTCTTCCCTCTTGGGTCTTGTTCCTAGTTTTGAATGTCATTATTTTCTGAAGCTGTGGTGTGAGTAGTTGTGGTTCTCTGAATTCTTTGCATCTTTCTTGTCTTTCACCTTCAGTGGTGTATTCAATGAATAGTTTTGAGCTCCTGTAGTGTACTGAAGGCACCAAGATGAATGCAGAATGTTCCCCGACCTCACCATTGGTTGAGAGAGATATCAATGGTGTTTCTAAAACACAGAGATAAGTGTATTCATAGTCAAGTCAATGCAGGTCATTGCTGGATCTTTCTAAGGAAACTTGAGTCTCTCTGTCCACCAGAAACAGGATATCCTTTGGTGAGCAAGGCCACAGACTGATGCTGGAAAGGCCTTTGTACTCCCCACATCTACACTCCACCCATCAACAGATTGCAGGAATTAAATCACTTGACAACCTGTGGTAAATTTAATCCACTAGGGCTCATATTATTATTATCTCTGATCACCACCCAGTATATAGATTCCTGTTATCTACTCTTTCCTGCAGCCTCACCTTAGGCCTCCTGCCCCTGATCTGTCCTAATGCTGCTCCTCTTGGCACTGCCTTCTGGTCCTGATTTCTATCTTTTACTCTTTGAAACTCCCTGATCATAGTTAACAAACTTTTCTGTGTTTCCTACAACTGGGGGCCTTAATTGAAAAGACATTCCGTACGTAAACCCTTCTCCTGTTCAAGTGGGAAAATCTAATATTGGGAAGGAGGTAGTCACTAGAGTCTATGTGTATTTATGGCTTATCTACAAGAATTCTCAAAGTTAGTTGTTTGTTTTGGTTTTGTTTTTAGAAGCCATGGGGTGAGAGTTCCCCAGATGTGTTCCTATGATCTTGAAGTCTATCCATAGCAAGCATGTGACACTTGCCTGGATCATCAAGTTTCAGAGTACCTGTAAAAGTAAGTGCATAAAAATAAACCAGGTGGTTAACTTATTTACAAAACAGGAACAGACTCACAGACATAGAAACAAAACTTATGGTTAGCAAAGGGGAAGGCGGGGAGGGATAAATTAGGAGTTTGGGATTAGCAGATGCACACTACTGTATATATAATAGATAAACAACAAGGCCCTACTGTGTAGCACAGGCAACTATATTTAATATCCTGTAATAAACCATAGTGGAGAAGGATATGAAAAAGAATATGTATATATATCCACATATATGTGTATACATATTAATATATATCTGAATAACTTTGCCGTACACCAGAAACTAACACAACATTGTAAACCAACTACACTTCAATTAAAAAAAAAAAAACAGACATGTGGTCAGGTCCAAGATATTCTGTGCAATCAAGTTTTCTCTCTCTGACCAAGAATGTGTCTATTCTGCCTCATAATCACTTCAGTTTTAAAGAATATATTTCAAATAGTTTAGCTTCCTACTACAACATATTTTCTTTCTTTTGTTTGTGAACTTTTCTAGATTTTTAAACTTAATTATTTTTTTCCTTTGTAATTTATTTTTCACTTCTGCTATCTCTTGAAGTAAAGAGTTTGGTACGTTTGCTTCCTGCTGGGGAAAGTACTACAAGAAATTTTGTGTCATTTTGCATAATTGAGTAATAAAGTATTCTGGTAAAGCCTTTAGAATTGTTCCTGGAATATACTCTGGGTTCAGCAAAAGCTTTCTCTTAACACAATCATTTTTTTCTTTAAATTGATTGGTTCATAGGTGAGGCCCTATTATTTTTGAAATTTACTGCATACATCTTTGTTAACTTGAAATGGACTTCATCATCTTCTAATGGTTGTTTTTCCAGATGCAAGAGGCCTAATCCCTTTAATCAGTGCTTATCATTCCATGGAATGGATGCAGCATCTGGCAGCTGAGGGCGTGAGGAAATACTGTGGAGGTAGAGGGAGGATTCAGGATTGTCCTAGTCTCTCAGTTTGAAGGTTCTGTTTCATACCAAAGCGAAGTCAGCTTTTTTATATCTTCCTTTTAACTTCCCTACTCCTGCTGCCTGGCCTGCACTGACTGCGTAGTCATTCTGGTCATTGGACAAACCTTCTAATATTTAAAAATGGCCATTGTGTTTCACGTAAAACTTCTCTCTTCCATTTCAACACACCCAGTTCCTACAAGCCTTCTTGATAACTGTTTTCCCAAACATTTATCATCCTGGTCACTCTCGTCTGTTCGCAGCATCCTAAAGTGGTCTCGGAGCAGGACATGCTATTCTAGGTGTTGTAAAGAATTATGGGATTTCCCCCTCTTGTGGACACTGTTTCCATTAATGCAGGATACAGTTGTATTCATTTTGGAAAAGTCTTGGTGTCCTGTTGGATGTTGGGCTTGAATTCAATGACAATATTTGAGGTTTTTTTAAAATTGAAGTATAGTTGATTTATAATATGTGTTAATTTCAGGTGTACAGCAAAGTGATTCAGTTTTATATATATATATTTTTTCATATTCTTCTCCATTATAGGTTATTACAAGATATTGAATATAGTTTCCTGTGGTATTGCAGTAAATCTTGTTGTTTATCTATTTTATATATAGCAGTGTGTATTTGTTACTCTCATACTCCTAATTTATCCCTTCCCCTCTATTTGAGTTTTTTTAAATTGGAACGACTTGTTGTTAAAACAGGTTTCCTCATCATGTAGTTGCTCTAATGTATTTTGAACTTAATTCTAGGATTTCATATTTTTATCTGTCCAATTTTATATTACTTTTATGTCATTGCTCTCATGTATTGAGAGTTGTCGATCTATATTATATTATTATATGATATTATATTATATGTATTATATTATATATTAGTATTTGATCTCAGCATTGGGACATCTGATGTTTTAAAATACAATGTATAATAGTGGAAACCCTACTGATAAAGAAGTAGATCAAATCAAAGCTTTATATACAGGTGGCTGACACGCTAGACATCTCTCTTCAGGTTGGAAATGAACAGTAATCAGTATCATTCAGTCTCTAGCATTATTTTACCTCTCTCATCACTGATAGTTTTTCTAATTGGGTAATTTATTGAATGAATCTGGTGAATCTTTCATCATTCTGTGATGTAAATCATTAGGACTGGAACAGTGGGCTCATGTAAAGCATATGTGTACTCTCTTACTATTTCCACACCTTTCCTGAGCGTTAACGTTTTGCTCTGAACACAAACATGCACACACATACCCACACGTTCACACACACACTCACATTCATTGCAGAAAATTTCAAAACTACTTTTCACTTAGAAAATTTAGAAAGCGCATGCAATTCGATTCAAAGAACGGAACCAGTTGTATGACTGTTTCTCCTGGCTCACTCCTAACTAATAGCTACATGTCCCTTCTCTCTTTAAACACACACACACGCACACACACGCACACACACACATACACACCTCTTGTTTATATAAGGTTGGGATCATATGATCTATAATAATTTATCTTATTCTCATTTACTTTTTTTAGCATTTTCCAAAGTCGTGAAAAAATATGGGAGAATATGAACGTTAATGGCTGCATGTATACTATAAAATAGATTCAACATAACTTATGTAACAAATTCTCAGATTAAGTATATATCCAAATTTTGGCTATTGTGAATAATATCATGACAAAAATAATTATAGCCAAATAATTCTCAGTACCTCTGGTAATTTCTTCTAGATAAATGCCTAGAAGAGATTAATTAAACAGTCATAAGTTTACGCATACATACAATATATATTATACATTTATATTTCTTTTAACAAAAAGTATATATTTTAGAAAATATATAAAATGCAAACATTGAAAAGTCAAAAAAATTATAACCCACAACCCAGAAAACAATGTTATTAATTTAATCTTAATAACATAGTGCATATATTTCCTGTATTTTTTTACATTTAAGATTTAAAATATAATAAGGTTATACTGTACATATTATTTTTAGAATTTTTTTAGTTAAAAATAGGTCATAATCATTATTCATATCATTCATTACTTTTCTACAATATAATTTTAATATCTATACAGTATTCTTTTGTATGACTTAATTTTAAAAAAGAGAATTCTTATTATTGGTTAGTTATGGCAGTTCTATATTCTTTGTTATGTAGACTGTGATGAGTATTGCTGATAATAAATCTTTGTATATATTCACATCAATTTTCTAAGGATAAAGTCTTAAAGATGAAATTGCTTGTCAAAGAGCACATGCAATTCTAAAGCTTTTTATGGACCTTATTCAATTGGTCTTTGGAAAATATCCACAAATTTTCCCTCCCAGCAGTATAAAATCACATTTCCTCACATTCTTACCAACATCATTTATACATTTTGGCCTCGCTTTAAGTGAAAATTATGTTGTATGGTTGTTTCTATTTGGCATTTCTTTCTTTGATTACCAGTGAGGTTTCACGTTTGGGGCTGCGTCTGTGTGTGTGTGAGCGTGTGTGAGAGACAGAGACAGGAGGAGATGGAGAGAGAGCTTGTGTGTGAATTTGCTCCTCAGTCTTTATTATTTTCAATAGATTTTTCTGTTTTTTATTTAGAAAATGTATTTGATATTAATGCAATTAAACATTTATCTTTGAATAACTTTTACAACTTTTCTTAAAAATGTTTCCCATTCTCCAATACTGTAAAATATTCAACATTATTATTATTATTTATTTTTTTGTTTTGCGGTACGCGAGCCTCTCACTGTTGTGGCCTCTCCCGTTGCGGAGCATAGGTTCCGGATGCACAGGCTCAACGGCCATGGCTCATGGGCCTAGCCGCTCGGCGGCATGCGGGATCTTCCCAGACCGGGACACGAACCCGTGTCCCCTGCATCGGCAGGCGGACTCTCAACCACTGCGCCACCAGGGAAGCCCACAACAACAACATTATTATTAATACCATTATTTTTATTGCATTTCACTATTGTCTTCTGGAATTTGTGCCTGTGTGAGTTATGATGTAAGAATCTGACTTATTTTTTTCCAAAAATTTTAATCAGTTCTCCCAGCACTAAATTCATCTCCCTACTGATTTGAAGTAATGCAAGCAAAGTATATTAATTCAGATATAGAGAATGGCTGTTTTTATTCCATTATCTGTCAGTTTTACTATTTTCCATTTTTAATTTGCAAATTTTTGTTTATAGTGATATAAACACCTATGTGAGTCTTTATACGATTTGGCATTTCAACTCTGATATTATGTTATATTTTTTCATATATGTCTTATTTTAAGGAAAATCTTTGAATTCAGTTTTGCAGTTATTTTCATAAATTTTTTATACTTACTGACTAGATTCAAAGCTTGCTGCAGATTTGATATCTTCCCTTCTCAGTTATTTGGGATACAATTTTAATGATTATTTTCCAAAAGGAACATGCAAGCAGTATTTTTTCTGAAATCTTTTATGTCTGTGAATGGCTTTCTCTTAATTTCATCCATTAATGACAACATGGATTGTTATTTTGAGTGTCAACTTTTCATTTTCTCTGAGCCTGCAGGATGATGCTTGCTTTCTTTGTTTCTGCAGGGATTTTTCTTAGGCTCCTGTTGTTTTACTTTTCTCTCTTTTCAATCCTGAGCAGATTTTTCCCACAGTCCCTTAGCTCTGTAGTCTATCTTCTTGAGCTGAATGTATGGATCCCTTCCTCAGCTCCGTGACTAGAGCTTGGTAAGAAATATACTCCAGTCCATTTTCCCATGTCTGATAAATACTCATCTACTCTTCTACTCTCATAATCTGTTTCTCTGAGACTCTGGACCATTGGATTACATGAAAAAAATTATAATTCTCAACATACACTTCCCCAAAATCCTTCTTAATTCTTCCCCTTCCTTGAATGTCTTACTTGTAATTGCATTAAAAGCCATAATTTCAGCTTTAAATTCTTCTTCAATATATAAGTATTTGGGGAAAATATTTAAATTTCTATATGCCTTTTTT